CCCAGGGCGGCCTCGTCCCTCAGCAGCCACACTCCTGGGCCTGCAGCCGCTGTCCGCAATTTCTGTATAGACGACTTGGCCTTCCCCTTGCCCCAGAACCCAGCTCAGAAGGCACTTCCTTATGAAAGGCTTCCCAAGACCCCCAGCCACAATCAGAGGCCCCTCTTTCAGGAGACACCCTCTCCTGTGACCAGCTCGCATTTCTACAGTGTCCCTCCCACCCCTAGCTGAGCCTGACCCCCCAGGTTCCCACACCCCCAGTCCCCACCACCTGAGCCCAGGGCCTCACACCCTTCCTCCATGAAACCCACCTCAGCTCCAAGCACGGGGAAAAGCAGATCCTCCCCTCTCCGCTGTGACCCAGCTTTGCCCTCACCACCCCATCAAAAGCCCTCTCACCCAGTCACCAGCCGCTGTCTTCTGGCCAACTCCCAGGTGCGTAGCCCAAGCTGGTCCCCTCTTCCCCCTCAGGCACCTGGGCTCTCCAAGGCCCCAGCTGCCCCTAACTCTCCTCTCTGCACACACCATAACTCTTCCCTACGCCACAGTACCCACGCTCCCCGAGGCAACTGCCACTTCCAAACCCAGGACTTTCCAATCCCCACCTCCCTCCACCATACCTACCCCTAGGATCCTGACCCATTTATGCAGACAGAAGTCTCCCTACATCTTCCTCAACTTCCAGTCTGGCTCCCTGCCAAGCTGCCCCCTCCCTGCCGGCCTCAGACAGACAGATGGCCAGAATGGTCACTCTGGAAGCAGTGGAGGGTGGCCTGGCTGAAGCCAGGAGGCCACTTGGGTGGTGTCGACTCTCTGTTGTTTTTCCATTGTCACAGCTCCGAGGTGTGACAAGCCCCCTGAACCCATGCCAACGGAAAACTTCAGCCTCAGGCAAGGATGCCCAAACTTGGAAGGGAAAGAGCTGTGGCCAAGTCTGAAGCCCAGAAGCCAGCCTAGACTGGGGACCAGAGATGGTAAGTCAGGTTCAACACTGCCACTCCCAGCAACCCCAGATGCATCCTTGGACAAAGCCACAAGACTTCCCCATATTCCACCCAAGATAAGTCACAGAGGGCTTGACTGCCAAGAGAGAGATGACAGCCAAGGTTCGAAGAGCTAGTGATGACATGTGTCTATCACACCCGCCTTCCTCCCCTTCCAACAAAGAAAACTTCATAACCATCTGTAGGAACAAGAATTCCATTCCATCCCATTGCCTCTCGGGAAGTCCCTCCTGTTATCTTACTCTGATCGTTAGTGTTGGCAGCTGAATTAGGAAGAACAGCAAGAACCAGAAGGGATGCACAGCCCGAGAGAAAGTGGACTAGCCAGGGAGGTGGGGGAGGCTGTGTGGGCCATTCAGCCCTCTCCCTCCGGGTAGAAGCGCGGCAGAGGGCTTTGCGAACACACAGGTTGGCTTCTTGGCTGAATGGCAGCGGACAAATTACTTAATCTCTCTTAGTCTGTTTCTTCAGCTGTAAAAGGGAATAACAATCCCTCCATTAACAGGATCACTGGGAGAACCAAATGAGATCAAGCATGTAAGTTCCCTGACACATACCAGACACCGAGCAGTCAGACTAATGGACACCACCTCCTCATTCATATTTCTCAGTTGCGTCCTCTCCCCAAGCCTAGCTTGGATCCTGCTTTCTCCCAGGCTCCTCCTCGGCCTCCTCACCCATTCTCCCTGCTTCTGCCCTCTGCCACCCCCCCCCCCGCCACTGCCAAAGGCATCCCTCTACAAGGGAAATCTGCTCTCGTCCCTCCTCTCACACTCCCCCCTGAACCACCACAGACTCTCTCCTTAGTGACGTTCCAGGCTGTTGCGACTAGCCTGCGTTTCTCTCTTGAGGCTCACCCATCATCACCAGCCCCACCCGCAGGCCGCACACACGGGGTGCTTCGAGCCTCCCAGACCTTTTCACATTCTGCGCCCTCCTCCAGGAATGCCATCCCCAGGGCTGCCGCCTTGGCCTCCTCGTCTTTCCAGATGAAGCTCAGGGGCTCCAGAACCACCTCTGTCCCAGGAAAGTGTCCCTCACCATGTCCCCCACTGGGACTGGGGTGGGGACTCCTCCCTAGGCCTTCCATGGCACCTGTCACCCTGCAGTGTAGTCACCTGCTCGGCTCTAAATCCTTCGGTGACAGAGTGGGGCCCTTCCTCTCAGAAGCCCCAGCCCCATCCGTCAACATTTGCTGAATGGGTGTACGATTGCTCCCAGAGCACCTTGCTAGAACAGTCATCATAACACCTGCCCCGTAATTAATCCCATCCAGACATTTGTCTCCCCGGCCTTCCTGGACCCCAAGATTTCCTAGAGGACAGTGACAGTTTCTGACTAATTCTCACTATCACTTTCACATGGGACTGAGTCCAAGTGCAGAGACGGATGCCATGACTCCTGAGCCTTACAGTATGAGGTATTTGCAGTTTCCTCTTCCAGGTCAGAGAAAGAAACCCATGGCCTCCGAAATGAGGCACGGTACAGCCCATTATTGATTTCGCCCTTCTCTTCCAAATTCCTTAGGAAACCTGGCCTCCTGGGGCTACGAGAGAGAGAGGGGGGAAAAGCAGGGCCACCATCCATCGAATGGACTTTAGCCAAGCCTGGGCTCCAGGCTTCGGGCAGCACCTCTTCCCCTGCTCAGCAAATTCAATAAACACAACAGAGCCTTGAAATGCTTAAGTACTGACAGCTCCAATTTACAGACAGGAAAACTAAGGTCCAGAAGGGTAAGGACAAATGTCCAAGGCCCTGTGAGTTAGAGGCAAGTGTGTGTGGGGGAGGGGTCATGGGAAAGATCTTGACCCCAAAGACAGGGTCTCCAACAGGTACTGGGCTGCTCACAAGGTCTCCATTCTGCTGGCACTCTATGCCAGCATGGGGAGCAATGACCCACCTCTTCAAGTCAGAGAGGCAAACCAAGGCCCAAGAGGGGCTGAGTCACCCTGATGGCGGAGCAGCACAGGAGGAATAAATGAGAAGGGCAAGGGCTCCTAATGCTCACGGGGAGAAAAGTCTCATCTCAATGGTCAGGAGGATCTTGGCTTTGGGGGACATTGGCCATAGCAGAAGAGAGAGTCGCACATCCTAGTGAGGACAAAGACATGGTCGCAGGGCCGGCCAGCCAGCTGCAATGAGGACTAGTCATCAAGGTGAATGCAGAAGCTCCAGGATCTTCTGCAGCCTCGCCTCCGAGCCCGGGGCCTCCACACACAGAGCAGGGCACCCTCAGGGCCCATGAAGGGTTTGGCACTGCCCAAGGGGAAGCCCCAGAGAAATGGACTAAGTGGGGTCGAGCCTCTGCCCGGCTTCTGATGTCCCCTGACCTTAGGAAAATCAGGTAACCTCTAATACTCTGGTTCCTCTTCTGGAAAGCAGAAGAGGAAAATTAGCCTCCTTGAAGATATCAGGAGAATGGTTGGGAAGCAGTTTCTAAATTATCTTCAAGCCTCAGTTTCTTCTTCTGAGAAATGGAAAATAGTCTCTAGAGGATCTCTCTAACGCTGTTGAGGAAGAGTGTCAGACAGCAGGCTGTGTGAAATTGCTTTGTCGTGGTCACGAAACGTAATGACCACTGGGGTCATGTCTTCCTAGTCTAGCTGCTCCTTTGGGGAAGGAATAGGTCTTACATGACTTTGATCCCCATGCCATGCCTAGTACACAGCAGGCACGCAATAAATAATTATTGGCAGCAGGAAGAGAGGGAGTGTGGAGAGAGGGAAGAGAGGAGAGAGAAGTGGGGCACAAGGATAGAAGAAGGTAAAGGGAAAAAAAATGAAAATGAAGGGCTTGTAGAAGTGGTAGGGGGAGGAGAGAGGGAAGAGGGAAGAAGGAGCAGGCAGAAGGAAGGAGTACAACCGGGGTGACAAACCAGAGTGCCTGATCTGGGCTTGTCTTGTCTAGAGAGGTTATCCCCAGGGGCTGCCCTGCCCCAGCTTCCCCCCCTATTTTGTACCAGTTTTCCATCTCAGAGGCAAAGCATCTCCCTTTCTGAGCTGAAGCTCCTAAGAAGATAAGAACCCCTCTCCCCACACCAGCTTCAGACAGATGGTGGCCAGCCACCCCAGGCCTCTGGATGTCAGAGGGAGGGAAACAGAGTGGATGGGATGCATTTTTCCCAGGCTCTGGGGGGGCCTGCCACCCTGTGTGATGTATGTCTTTCCACTTCGTGCCATGTAGGGACTGGAGTGTGTCAGCGGCCCCAGGGTCTGCTGGCTTGTGACCATGGGGCGCCAGAGTGTATGGGCTTTAGTCTGTCTGTGGGGGTCAGTGCTGGTGGGGTCTCACAAACATGGTGTTGGGGAGATAGGTGCCAGCATGAGTGTATGAGGGTACATCCCAGAGTGTTTGTTACAGTGAGTGCAAGTGACAGTGTCTGTGTGTATCTGTGTAGGCCACCATGAGTGTGCCAGCATGAAGGTGTGGTAGAACTGATGTGTGTTAGAGTGTGACATGTGTATGACAACATGACTGTCAGCAAGAAATGTGTTCATGAGTGTGTACCAGTGAGTGTGTGACGGTGTGTCATTGTACGCGATAAGCTTGTGGCAGTGAACGTCCGTGTGTATGCCAGCAGGAGTGTGCCCATAGATGAGTGTGCCCGTGTGTCTCCAGGAGCGTGTGTGCCATTGTGTGTTAACCTGCCCCCTTGCGTCTCTGTGTCTGCTGGCCGGTCGGTGCTGGGTGTCAGCAGCGAGTGTGTGTGTGTGTGTGTGTGTGTGTGTGTGTGTGTGTGTGTGTGTTTGGCGGCGGCGGCGAGGAGCTGCGAGCCAGATGGGGCGTCCAGGTCCTCGCTCTAGGTACCCCCACCCAGGACCCCCCGGGTCTCCCCGGCCCCGCCAGCGACCGCACACAGTAGACCTCTGGCACAGGAGAGCTGCGTGCCGCGAAGCCAGGCGTCGGCGCTCCCGGGGTGACCGACTGGAACCCCCGCCCGAGCCCTCGCCCAGGTCGCCCCCACGGGCACCCGGCCGGGCCGCCGCCGACACTCACCGCGTCCCTTTGTCGCCCATGTCCGCCGCGGCCGCAGGAGGTCCGAGGCGACAGCGCCCAGGCTGGAAAATCCCCGGCCGGCAGGAGGAGCGCGGGCCAGCCGGCTCCCGGCTCCCTGCTCCGCCTCCTCCGCTCTCCCGGCCGCCGCCGCCGCCGCCGCCGCCGCCGCCGCCGCCCCCGCCCCGGGCCCGCCCGCAGCGCAGCACAGCGCCCGCCGGGGCCGCGGCCAGGGGCGTGGAGCAGTGCGGGAGGGTGCGTGTGCCTGCGCGTGTGCCTGCGTGTGCGCGCCAGGGCAGGGCGGCGGGCGCGTCAGGGCTTCAAGGCCGGCATTTGGGGGTCCACACCGCCGTGCACCCCGCTGTGTGTCTGGTGTACGTGAGGGCGCACGCTGGGGTGTCTATACGTGCGCGTGTGTGCACGCGAGTGTGCCGGTGCGTGTGCACGGCCGTGTGCTCCGGCCGAGTCGGGAGTGTGTTCGTGCGGTGGAACGGTATGCACGTCTTTGTGCAGTTGTGCGTGTGTGCAGGAGGGTTCCCCGGTGCTAGCGAGGCAGCCTTTTGTGTATGCGGGAGGGTGGAAGCCCAAGGTCGGCCCACCACAAGGCCTAGCTCCCTCCCAGCGGCGCCCCTGGTAGGGCGGGGTGGGGGCCTGTAGGAGACCCCGGGTGCCTGGCACCGCCGTGTCCTATGCCTCACCCTCCCCCACCCCAACTCCCCGCCCTTCTGGAAAGATAACACCCAACAACCCTACAGGGAAAGGAAGAAGGGGCGGTGGGGGGCGGGGTTGGAGAAGGCAACCATCAACCCTGGGGAACTGATGGGGGGGTGCGTGGGCCGGAGACCAGCAGGGGGCGGGTGGAGGTGGCTGCCTAGGAAGAGGAAGCAGTGAGCACAGGAGGTAAGGAAGAAGCTTAGAGCTGGTCTCCTGTGGCCTGGGAGTCTGAGCTGGTGGGGTAGCACCGTGGAAAGGCCCCTACCGAGCTTCATGGCTTTTTATGGGTGACATTGGACACCAGCCCTCTCCAAAGGGCTCCAAACACACAAAGTGAGATACTTAATATGGCTTGTAGAATTGTTCACAGGTATTTGCTGGCCTCCCCGAGTGCCTGGCAGGGGGTAGGAGCCCAGTAGATGTTAGCCCATCCCTCTGCAGACATCTTGGCGTGCTGTAAAACCCTGGCTGGGACCCTGCTGCCCCTTCCTGCTGTCCAGGTAGTGGAACAATATGAGGTCCTTCCTACCCCTTCACTGCTGGGATTTGACTAATTGGACCAGACAGATCCCTAATATTGGCATATTAATGGGAGGAAAGGAAGCTATCATTTACTCTTATGTGATTGTGGGTCTGTAAACATCTCCTGTAATTATGTTCAGAAGCAGTTACCTATGCTGGTTATATATAGCTGGGTAAGGATATCCCAATAAAATTACTGTAATTATGTCCAGATAGGCAGGTGGTTAAGGAGGGGTGTGCTGATAGGCAGACAGGGTGGTCCAGGGTCTGGGCAATGTTGGGAATTAAGGGAGTGTGGATTAGAGCCCAGGACTTTCATCTTGGCCTTGGCCTCTGGGCTTCACCCTTACTCCCTCAGGGAAAGGAGAGAAGCCACCTGCTGTTTCTGCTGAGCCCAGGGACTTCAGAGGAGCATACCAGAGTCCTGTGTGATGACGGAAGGCTCACTGTGTGAGCCTGAGAGGACCCTAACTGGGATGGAGAGACCAGCTTCTGCCACTCTCCGCATCAGTTTCCCCTGGGAGAACAGGGTCAACCCAGCCACATGATCTACAATGGCTCTCCTCATGGTGATGCCCAAAGCACCTGGATTTTACATCTTAATTCTCCCTTTGACTCAATAAATGCTTATGTTTAGTTTGCTACAAGACATAATGTGCATTACTTCCAAGGAAAACGAATGGTCCAGGAAGATGCATCAGATTGTTTCAAGTAACTCTTGCCCCCACACAGCTCTTCCCAGCCCATTTGGTGAAGCATGGCTCTAATGCTCTGGGGACAGTGAACAGATTGGTAGGCTGTGCAGTTAACAGGCATGACGTCAAGTACATCCCCATGAGCCCATAAACTTCATGAGGGAGTTAATGGTGTCCCTGACACTACTTGATGTTCAGAATTCTATGAGATAAATTCTCTTCTCCCTGTTTTATAAATAAGCAAGCTGATGCTTGGAGAAGCTATGTAGTTTGCCCAAATCCATAGCCCCCCGGGGACCTTGGCCTCTGACCTCCCCTTCTCCAGCTCCCCCCACCACCACCCCCACCACCAAGGGAAGCTAGTATATGGAAGAGCCAGAAACTGGTCTTTGATTTACTCTTCATTCAATAACTGTTCGTCAAATATACCATGCGCTGTTCTGGGAACTTACAAATCAGTGATCTGTAGGACAAACAGGGCTGTCATTCCAGTGAGGGATCTAGGGTGGGGGAAGAGGAGTTAAGAGGTATTTTTGCTTTACCTATCAGGACCTTCAGACAGTATAAAATATTCTTAGTATCATTAAAATTAACAAAGATGTAAATGTGGTATGTTGAGGAGAACTCTGTAAGTATAAATGATCTAATTTCAAGCAATACCAAGTATTAGGAAGGAAATAAAACAGTGAAGAAACAAAGAGTGACGGAGCAGGTATACTCAGAAATGGGCTCTTGACCTCTGGGTAAAACCTGCAGGTAAGGACCCAGTGATGGGTGGTGTGCAGTGAAAGCCTGCGGGGAGAGCTGCCCAGGCAGAGGGAGGAGCAAATACAGAGGTGGACCCTTCTGAAGCCCAAGAATAAGGTCAGGGTGCCTGGGTTTGGGTGAACCAGGGAAGCAGAATACAGATCCTACAACATTTGTTGTTAGGCTGAAGAGTTTGGAGAGCCAGTGGAGGACACAAGAGATGAGAAACAGTACATGCTTATATTTTGAAAGGTCACTCTGGCTGTTGGCTGGAGAGGTGTTGGACCAGACGAGCAGGGACAGTAGGCAAGAGAGAGCGGATCGTGGTTTGGACAATGGTGGTGGCAGCAGAAATGAGAAATAAAGGGGTTCATGTATATTTGGAGGTAGAGCACCTGCTCAGGGACCAGCTGTGGACAGTGGGAGATCCAAGGTTGCTCTGAGGTTTGGGGCAGGTCTGTTTGTTCCACCCCTCATGCAGGCCACCTCCCCCACACATTTCTTCAAGGGCACTGAGGGTTGAGAGTCCTGGAGGCTCCCTCCTTCTGGTCTTGACCCATTTGTTATACAGCCTCCATCTGCAAACCAGATTGGTCTTTCTAAAAGGCAAATAGATTCTACTACTGAGGTTCGTAGGGGATGGTCATGTCCAGCTCTGACCCAGCCTGGGCCAGTCGTAGCCCTGAAGTTCACCACTCACGATAATAACCCCTTACCAAAAGAGAAAGAGAGATAGGAAGTATTATTCTTGCTTTATAGATGAGAAAACAAAACCTCTAAGAGGGAACGTGCCTAAGTCAAGGACATAGCAAATAAAAGGTCGTTCAAACCTGTAGTTGAAACCTAAAGCTTGTGCTTAGCTGGTCAGGTAGTTGAATGTCAGATTGAAGAAGGAGTGAGTGGGGGCAGGGAGGGGGGATTGTTTCTAGCTCCTTGTTCAACAAAGGATGTGAGGTTGACTGATGCATGCCTTTGAGATGTTAAAGATTGATAAACTAGGGGGATTCTCTACTTTTGCCCCAACCAGAAATCTAGGTGTCATCTTTGACTTCTCCTTTGCCTCGCTTGATCCCTATCGGGCCGTCCTGGACATCTACTTCCTAAGTGTCTCCCAGTAAAGCTGAAGACGTAGGCAGGAACTGGACCATGCTGGGCCTGGAGGGTCATGTTAAGGAATTTGGTCTTTATCCAAAGATCAATGAAGATTTTTGAGCTTTGAAAGATTTTAAGCAGAGCGGTGACTTGCTCTGACCCGTATTTTGAGACAATGGCTCTGGCTGTTGCATAAAGGATGGATTGGATGTGGGCCGGAGGGGATGCAGAGGGGAGGGACCTTGTTGGCAGTTCAGGGGAAGGACGATAACCACATTCCAGGGAAAGGACATTCAATAGCTGCAAAGCCAGGCAGGAAGGAAAAGGGTACAGCACTTTAAAAGAATTCAGATGGATCTGCGGCCAGAACACAGAAAGGGGAGGAGCAGGACTGGAAAGGAGGATGGGGCCGTTATCTTGAGGAAGCAGGCTCATAGCTGGGTCAGCTCCCCAGTTTGGCAGGGTGTAACAGGACCTCCAGCTTGTTTAACAAGATTGCTGTTGGTGGGATTGTTGGTATCTAACTATCACTCAGTGGACGATTCAAGGTTCTCATTTGTAATTGACAAAACCAATTCTGACTGACTTGAATATCCAAAGAACTTATTGGCAGGATATTCAGATAGCTGCTGCTGCTGAGGAAGGAACGCCACAACTCATACCCCCAGCTATTGCCAGCCTCAAGCCTAGACCCAGAAAGTAGGTATGGCCACTGCCACATCTTTGTCCCGGGAAAGGATTCTTCCCTGGCTCTACATGCCCTGAGGCAAAGCCCTCCACTCTTCAAAGCACCCCATGATTGGCTGAGCCTGGTCACGTGATCCTACGTTTCCAGGCAAGGACCCTGAGAAACTGCCTTGTTGGCATTTGTGATTTCCATACTGGGAGGCAGCCTTTGACTTACTCCAAGACTTGTAGGGCAAAGGATTCCCCAAATGTAAGACGGGAATTTAGAGGCTGAGCTGCCAAAAAGTACAAATACCCACTCTACTACGAAATGCAGCTGAGTGAGTTATGGTAACCACTCAGAGCCAGAAGATGACAGGAAGGGACAGCTACCCTTGCTAACTGAGAGGTCTTTGCTGGGTCGGAGTGATATTGTTAGCTTTCTAAAGAAGAGAGGCAGCAGATAGGATTCTAGTAATGGTGAAGTACCTTCTAGCAGACTAATCCCTGTAGATAGCAATATAAACTTTGAACAAAATATAAAAACAAGACTGGGGCGCCTGGGTGGCTCAGTGGGTTAAAGCCTCTGCCTTCGGCTCAGGTCATGATCCCAGGGTCCTGGGATCGAGCCCCGCATCGGGCTCTCTGCTCAGCGGGGAGCCT